TTTTTTTTTTTTTTTTGACACAAACTCACGAAAGAAAAATAAAAAGAAAGAACAAGGAAAAAAGTTTTAACAAGATACACGATCGATCACCTCTCAACGAAACACTCTCAATGAAACACTCTCAATGAAACACTCTCAATGAAAGCACCAATGATGAAGATCGTGTATCTGCCTCAACTCGAATTGCTTGAAACCCGCGCCGACGCCTTGGTCCCGAAGCTATAGGATGCTAATACGCGCGCCGACGCCTTCGTACTTCGCGATTGTTGTGAAGAAACTCGGATGTTGGTCCTATTTCTAACACGATAGGTGTGAAGAAACCCGGATGTTGGTCCTATTTCTAACATGATTTTGTATGTAAACTCACACACAAGAGTTGGTGAACAAACGTTCGATTTTTTATTAATTTCTTGGATGATCAAAAATAGCATAGGGTACATGGGTATTTATAGGAGAAACTAGATCTAGTCCTATGAGAGCTATAATTCTAACTAGAAAATAATATCTAGTCCTAAGGCAACTAAATGTCTTGCATATCAAGACTTAACAAAATATAAAATACCTAACCTAAACTAATTAAAACTCACGACTAATTAAATACTAACTTAACAAAACTAATCCTAACCAAAATCTATGTATTAACGGCAATAAATAAAAATCCTAACAATCTAACATTAATCCTCCCACTAACAATTATTTAACCAATCTAATAATTAATCTAATTAACTAAACTAATAAGTAATTAAACTAACTAAACTAAATAATAATTAATCTAATTAATAAGTATCTTCTAGAATCTTGGACTTGAATCTTCTAGAAGCTTCTTGTCAATTTTGACGTTCAAGTCACGCCGCGTCCGTGTTTTAACCTCACGTCGCATGCGCACCGTGCGTGATCTTTGGGCGTGTGTCCTCGTATTCGAGCTCCCGTACGTCTTTTTGGCCATGCACGCGTTGTTTCGGTCCTTTTCTTGGCCTTTTCGGATCGTCTCGGCCCTCGGCTCTCGGCATGCTCGGGCCTCGAAAGCCACTTCCGCATCAGGTTGCCCTTGCGAAGCAAGTCTCCTTAAGACCTAATGAAAGGCCGTGTCCGTTACAGTGGCACGCACTCCCGACGTTAGGGTTTATGCATCCCCTTTCTGCGGCTAATGATAGATGTGCACATGAGTGAGTTATTGTTGTAATTATTAGGAGATGAGACAGGATGATGATTGATTTATATTCATAATGCGACCATACCATCTTAACATGTATTATTTATGTGCATAGTGGTGAGCACGCTTTTCATCTAGTGCTCATCCCTACCTGCTCTTTACCGATGCAGGTTAAGCAGGAGCTGGGTGACGAGAAGAGGCGAGTGGGTCGGTCATTTCTATTTATCGCTTCCGTATGAATAAGGCTTTATGAACCTTTATGTTGAGACTTGATTATGCTATTTTCCACAACTTATGACTTGCTTGTTTTGGAAATTTGTGAAACCCGGATTGTTGGGTATTATGGATTGATTATATATTCATGTTGAGTCTCGTGATGTGGTTCGGTTAATGAAAACCGTTTGTGAAAACCGGGTAATGAATCCCGTGAGCCCAGATAAGACTTGGGTTATGAAAAATGTTGTTTAACACCCATTGAATTTTTGAAAATGATTTTGAAAATTTTACACTGATTTTTGGAAATTCCGGAATTTCTTTAAAATCAAAGTGGGGTGTTACAATTTAGTCGTATTTGCTTGTTTTTGTGTTCTCGTTTCGTTTTGGTGTCTTGTGCTTTTTATTTATCTTTTTACATTTTATTCTATAGGGAAAGCGTGTTCCTGAAAGTCGACAATAAATTTACTGAAAAATGCCGGAAAGTCACCCGAGACTAGGAGAAAAAGATTTGAGGAACATGATTCAAAATTTAAAGTCAATCGGATAACCGTGCGAGAAGTTAGAGCGAATTAAGTTGAAGCCATTTGCATCCCGCGAAAACAATTTTCGTGCTAGAAACAACACCTATCTCGCGAGTTCCTCTTTGCTAGCGAATTTTGCCCGCAAAAATGCGAACATATCCCGCGAAAAGGCCCCAGCTCGCGAGTCCACCTTTGCCAGCGGAATTAGCTCGCGAAATTCGAGACCAAAACTCGCAAGTTACCCCTACCTAGCGAGTTTTTATCATTAAATGTGTGTGGTTTAGTGTGTGTTTATGGTGTAGCTATAAATAGACATTGTGCTTTGTAATTTTTAAACATCACCTCATTTTCCCAACTTTTAAGTTGCGAAATCATCTCTATTTTCTTTTTTTTCTTTTTATGTGTTGGTATTGAGCTTATGAATCAAGTTTTCCGGCAAATTTCCGGCGACATTGTTTCGAGTAAAGTTTCGACCTTTTGACTCCGTTTCTCTTCCCAAGTGCATGTGAGAGTGGGTACTTAGTCTTAAGCTCCATTACTTCGTATACTTTTGTTTGCTTTTTTGTGAAAATTGATATTGTGCTTGTGTTGCTTGGAGGAAAAGATTGAATCTTTAGATCGTGAATGCTTGACTAAGTGTGATTAGGAGATGAATGCTTGCTCGTCTTATGCTAGAGTTTGGTTTAGCTTCCTAGGGTTTTAGCTAACTTGACAATGTTCAGTTATTTGTGTGTGTTTGATCATACTGACTCCGACAAACAAAAATCTCTCTTTCCCCCTTAATTTCTATCATCTTCTTGCGTGCTTTCTCTTGCCTTGTTAAGTGCTTTCAAT